GATTTCTGAGGAACCTTATTGCTTCTTTCCATGTTTCTCCCAGGCTGGCTGCAGCTCTGCTTCAAAGGGCTGAGTGCTTTCTTCCACAGATTGCCTCTCAAACCATGAAATGAGGATAAATTAATAAAACCTCATTTCCCTTTCTTGTGATCACACCTGAAGAGTATAGAATGTGGGGTGTTTTGAAGGACAGAGAGCTGGCATCTTTACACATAACACAAACAGACGTTTTAAGTAAACATAAAAAAGAAGAGCCTTGGTGCAGCAGTAACCCCTCCTTTCTGGACAGTGATTGTTTGCCAAGGAAACAGAGTCTATGTGTTCAAGTGATGCAGCAGCATCACTTTCACAGCTGTAGGGCTGCTAGCTGAGTTTTGGGCACAGCTTTGGATGTACAGAACTGCACTTGGGGCTGAGGAGTGAATAGTTAAGGTGAGGATTTTGTGGCAGGAGTCGGCAGTACCCTGACTCTGCCCCCATTCAGAGAATAGGGCTGGGAAGCTGAAATCAATGCAGTGCTGAGCACAGCTGAAATATCCCCTCTGCACATTTTATAGCGCTGATGATTGAACTTGACATCCAACTCGCCAGAGCCACGTGCTTGGTATGGACATGGCGTACCTACCAATCTAAGTCCTAATCCTGTGCTATGCCTCCAATAAGGGACCTCTGACCTCTGCTGCCCCAGTGCATGGAGATTAAATGTGTGTGTGGAGTTGTTCACTGATGTAAGGAAAAGAGGTGGAGCTGCAGGAGCCCAGCGAAACCCAAAGTGCTTTAATATCCTACCAAGTTTGTGCCCAAAAAAGCCATTCAAACCTCATCTCCCTTAGAAGATAAAAGTCCCCACAGTCCCCTTGTGTTGAGAGAATTTGCAGAGCATCTTGTGAGTACATCTGCCCTTAATTAATAGCAGGCAGCTCAGCGTAGATGTGTGAAAGGCCCCTGTGACAGAAAGCCCAGAAAGGCTTTAGCAAAGGAGCACAGCACCAGAAGGATTTAATGGCATTATAATGTCCTTGTATTACAGCGGCCGCAGCACGCAGAGATGTATTCCAGCACTACATTAGCAGGAAAAGAAAATCTACTCCTTTCCTCAGGAGCCCTTTTCACCTTTCCTGAGAACCATCTTTCTCTCCTGAGAACTCACCTTTCCTAAGTGGCCATCCCCGTGAGATGGGAACTGAAAGGCAGGAGAAAGGGAAAAGACTGATGATGGGAGTCCCCACATTTTGGAACCACAACACGTCGCTTTTCTCTGCACCTTGCTCCGGCCCCTTTGTAGCTCCCGTTGCATTTTATAGTGTGTTTAGTAGTTTTCTGTTTGGGGGCAAAGCCTTTGCAGCTCTGTAGTTAACAGCAGGCTGTTGGGGAGCTGTCTGTTGATAGAGTGCAGACTCGCTCAGACGCTCGCGCACGCACATCCGAGGGAATGTGCAGCCACTCCACCCATGCATTTAATAAACTTGAGCCACAGCCATTGCTGCTGTGTGTGGTGAGGCGTGTAAAGCAAGAGCTGCGGTGCAGGAAGGGTTGGTGGTTAAAGGCTGGTTATGTGAATTAACACAAAAGAAAGGGAGCTGCTCGACGGAGCGAGGGGTGGAAATCCATTTCAGATTGAAGAGACAAGCATGCTTGGAAAAGGCAGCAGCAGCAGGGCTGCTGTGTGCCCCCATCAGTGTGACGTGGGGCAGCCCGGGGCTGCAGGGCACTGGGGATGCTGCTGCAGGGCTGCCTGGGGCTGCCAGCTGCTGGGCTGTGCTCACAGCTCTCTGCTCTGCTCTGCGCGTGAGTGTTTGTCCTGCCGAGCCGCGGCTGAGCCCCGTCCAGCTTGTTCCACAAAATCTGCACTCATTTCTAACAAACAGCTTAGAAAACTCGGTCTCAAAAGAGACAGAGGAGCTCGATGTTTCTTCCTTCTCTACATCTTTTTCCTCTTTCTCTTGTGGTGGAAGATGAATGGTTCGGATGTGTCTGCAGCAACACAGGCACAGCTAATCTGCCTTTCTATTGATGACCTGTTTCTGAATGTCCTGGCCCGATTTATGAAAATGTACTGTATTTTGCACCATGTTTTGATGCTGCTCTGTTAGGACTGCATGCAAACTGCAGCAGAACAGTGATGCTTATTCATTCCAGCAGTGAAGGGCTGGCTGGGAGCTGAATGAGCTCATAGTTGTTGCTGTCTTCACTTACAGAAAGGGAAATGGGAGTAAGTGGGTATCCCAAGCCCAGTCATTTTTTTCTCTGACCATCGGTTTATTTTGTAAATCATTATCTTGAAAGCACAAGGTCAGTGTATTAATTTAATCTTTCATCTAGTAGGTTTTTAGGCTGGATTCTTTTTTTAACTCACTCCTTTTCTAATAACCTCTGATAAAGTTGAAGCTGAAGTCTCTTTGTCTGTCAAATGTTCTTTCTCTTGCTATTGCTTGAGCATTAATGAATTAAAATCTGAGTTGGATTCCCATCACTTAACTGGAGTAATACAGCAGTTCTCTGTATTGCCTGGGAGAGCCTCAGCCTTGCTGCAGCCCCTGTGTGCTGAGCTGCTCTTCACACACAGGCAGCCCAAAGAAAGCAACAGCCAAACCCCACCCGCGTGATGCAGGAATGCTTCAAAGGCTGCTGCTGCTACAGGGAAGCATTCCCCAGAGGGAGGACACTTGGCAGGTGGCCTGCCAGAAGCCCTATTGCATGAGGGCTGGGCAGTAAGACTGTGGATCCTGGGGTTCTGCTCTGCAGAGGACTCCTCAGCTGGGATTTCTGTGCTGCAAGGCATCTGAAATCACCAGTAAATGGTTTCAGCCTGAGGCTGATCACCCAGGGGGGCATTTAATTGCCAAATGCGTTAGCTCCCTAAGATTCACAAATGCAAGGTGTTGCTGGCTGGAAGCAGAAGTGGTGAGCAAGGCACTGAAACCTATTAGCCAGCTCTGTGCTGCTCTGAAGAAAATCCTTGTCTTCAGGCCATTCTCTTACAAGTGTGGTCCAACCTGCTGCTCACAAAGGCAGGTGAGGGACCTCAGGGCAATCAGCCCCAGGCTCACTGCTTTCCTCAGGGCCACCTCCTCTTTAGGTTAAGCAGCTGCCTCACAGGAGGAAATAAGCATTGCAACTGCCCAGTATTTCTTGCTGGCAGCCTAGGGAAAAGAGGAAAGGTATAGAAAGCAGCAGACATTGTTTTATAGCACATGAGAGAGTTGTCTGGTCTGAGAGCAGTATTTAAAATAGAAAAAGGCAACAGGGATAAGTGCAATGCCAGCAAGGAATTGAAGTTTTTCACTTGCAGAAGCAAGGTAATATGGGGTGAGAGAAGGAGCAGATGTACCAGGCACTGCCTGAAGCTCTGTGCCTGCCTGCCGGACATTCTGGTAATGTTGCAGGTGGGAAGTATGATGTAGTTCTTGCCCTGAGTGTTGCACTCACATTAGTGTGCATTCTGTAAGGATGCAGGGGCAGTGTCTGTTCTCCTGCTTTTCCCAGAAGGGAAACATGCTCATGCCTCCAGCCTTTCCCATGGCCATTTCTGCAGGCTCACTTGAGGCTTCTCCCACAGCTCTGCACTCTCATTCTCAGCTCAGCCAGGTTGGATCAACGTTATGGCTGTTACTCTGTGCTCCAGCCTTCTGTGAGGCCCTTATGGTACATTCACCCATGCCTTGAGGCTTTTGTGGCAGCAACTGGCTTTGCTTGCTGTACAGCACAATGAGATTGGATCCTGATAGGAGCTGTTAAGAGCTCCTGTAAAACATGCTAACGTGAGAATATCCCTAACAACATAATTCTGGCTGTAAATAAATTCAATATTCTCCTGCTGAAACCAATAGCAGCTGCAAGATTTTGACCTTAAGACAGCTGTTGCTTGCAAGGGAGGCATTGGTTGAGTCATGATAACCTTTTTTGTATACTACCTAAGCTCAGAGAAGCAAGGATGGAAATGGATTTGCTATGGACTGTCTGCAAGGGGAGTTTGTTGTTGTTTAAAGATAATAATATTAGAAATGCAAATTACCCCACAAAAGCTGTTGATATTTAAATACGATTTAAATTTATTTAACATTTAAACAGAAAAGTAGAAAATGGCATTAAATTCAGATGAGGATGAGACTGCATTCTGGAGTCAGAAGTATTAAATACATCCACAGAATGGAATAGATGGCCTGGCTGGTAATGGATTGTGAAAAGAGTTCGGGGTTTTAATAGATCATTCCTTCAGATCATCAGCATGGTAAAGTGGTAGTTAATAAATTATTTGACGTGCACATTTACTCGTATATTTTAACTAGCTGTAATGAACAGGTCCTGTCAGCTCACCTAGATGCTTGCAATAGCTGCTAAATTGCTTGAGTGAGATTTAGTAACTCTCAGCAATATTGATGTCCAGAGCTGCAGGCTATAAATAAAGTGACATCAGGACTAGCTTGAGCAGCACGGTGTGTAAGACCTTTGTTGGGCTTGCAGTGGAGATGGAGCTGCTTGGCCCAGTGTACATCACTGGGCACATCAGTGTGAGTCCCTTTCCAGTGATTAGTATTGGGCTGATGCAATCGCCCCACGCTTGGCACCCATAGCAAAAAACTCTTTGTCCCAGTTCAGAGGTGACTACACAAATTTGTCCCCTATTGAACTGCATAATCAGGCAATTAGCCCTTTCTGGGCAGCCCACAAAGTCGAGGAGGAATCCTCTCTCAATACCATCATCCCAGGACAGTCCTAGTATGGGATGGGAAGTAAGGACAGAATATGTTCTTTTATCTCAGGTTGTACTAGAAATGTTTATAGCAGAGAAAGCCTACCTGTTAAAATGATGCTAAATTAGCCAGCCTGTTAAGGGCACACCAGGCACCCTTCTTGTTATTCCTAGTTGTCCTCTGAACTTGGAGCTAATTTAAACTTTTATTCTTTTTCTCCCTCCCACTCACTTTGTGATGTACTTTATAATTTGTGAGGAGACTCATTAATTTTTTTTTTCTTCCTCTTTTTTTTTTTTTTCCCAGGTTTCTGACAGGTGTGACTATGTCTTTGTCAATGGGAAGGAAATGAAAGGCAAAGTGAATGTCATAGTTAATTTTACTTACCAGCATCTGAGTGCCCCTTTAGAAATGACAGTCTGGGTTCCTCGTCTCCCGCTGCAGATAGAGGTCTCTGACACAGAACTAAATCAGATCAAGGGATGGAGAGTCCCCATCATCTCTAATAAGAGGTAGGTTTCATTAGAGGATGTTCATTCTGGGTTGTGCACTTGCCAAAGACCTGTCAGAGGCAGTGGATCTGAACATGCTCATTTGGCCTTAATGCAATTCCAGTGTAAATTTGAAGGTCATCAGACATTTATTCAATAGGCTACTTCACTGGTCTTATAAGGGAAATGGAAGATGCAGGTTGCATGATTCTTCAGTGGAAATCAATCTCTGTTTATAGTGCCAGGGAGTGAGACAAAAAGAGTCAATTGCAGGGTTGGCTATGGGAGCAGCAGGAAGCCCCCACACTGACCAGCTCTGGCCAGGCTCCCATCTGGTCCACAGCTCCTGCCAGCTAATTTGGTCATTGTTAATGGCGAACAGTGGTGCATACTTATTTTGCACTCTTGTTGTAGGGTCCAGTGACAGTGATCATGACCAAAGTTAGGGTTCTGTTAGAGCAGGGCTTTAAGTTTACTGTCTACACCCACAGATATGTGAGGACAGGACGATGAGTGGATACAGGCAGATCTGGGCTGTCAGTGTTGTAAAGAAGCAGAAGAACAAATGGATGAAGTGGGAACTTGCTGTTCTCACCTGCTGATGAAAACATCACTTATTACCAGGTTTCTGTTGGTATCAAAGCAGAAAGGTGAGGATGTTTGTGGAAAAGTGATTTCAGCCTGAATGCCATACAGAAAAAGATATGTAAGTAGGTGCAGACAGAGATTTCCATGGCAACACTAAGATGTTTATGGGCAGATCCAGAACAAAAAAAGTGCAGATGTCCTGAAAGTAAAGACTTAAGTTTGGCAAGCGTGAGAGAGACTCAAAGAGGACAGCATAGCAGTGAAGCTAGAAGGTTGGTGATTTTCAAGGCCATGCTGGAGATCCAAGCAGCATGGAGGCCTCAGCTGTGAGCAAGGGAAATGGGATAAAAGCAGGGCAACCTGGCTGATTTCAGAAATGCAGACAGAAGCAGTTTCAACAGAGATGTGGAGGGGGGGGCAACAGCTTTATATTCCACTACCCATGCTGCTAAGACTAATGTCAGCAACAACTTTCCTTTCCCAAACTCCCCTTGCATCAATTTTTGTTAATTTTTGGCTCTTGATGTTCTACCAGACCAGCCAGGGACAGCGATGATGAAGAAGAGGATGAACGGAAGGGAAGAGGCTGTGCCCTTCAGTACCAGCACGCGATGGTCCGGGTCCTCACACAGTTTGTGGCTGAAGCCCCGGAGCCTGGTGGCCAGCTGAGCTATTTGCTGGGTTCTGACTGGCAGATCGACATCACCGACCTGGTGAGCGACTTCATGCAGGTGGAGGAGCCAAGAATTGCTAAGCTGCAGGATGGACAGGTTTTGATCGGGCAGGAGCTTGGAATGACAACAATTCAGGTAGGAAAAATTAATTATTTACTCCCTTTCCTCTGTTAATCCATCGCCTCTGAACCAATGTGCTGATCAGGTGTGATGCAGCTTCTTGCATTAACAACAGACACTGGAGACAGGTTTCTGAACGGAGCACAGTGGCAGCAAGGACTGGAGGACACAAGATTGTTTTCTATGCATGTCTTGTGCCATGAAATATGCAGACTGCAGTCCTAGGAAATCTAGCCCAGCCTGCGTAAGTGCAGGTTATGATTATTTTTGTTTAAGGCCATTTCTGAACATGGAACCAACATATGGGCTAGCACGAGGCATGCAGCTGGTGGAACATCTGTCTTATCAAAACAGTGACGGAGGAAAGGGGAGAGTCAAAGTTAACTCATGTTGGCTGAGGAACCAAGGCTGAATCACATGGCAGTGAATCCCCGCAAGCCTTCTGAGCCTAAGCAGTGTTACAAAACATAAATATTAGGGTACATTTCCGAATGCACATAAAGCAGTAATAATAACAAGCACTTCTGGAGTGATGTTCAAAGATCAATCAGTGACAACTGAGCCGCATTCTCCAGATGTACAGATTTTGTTTTATCAATTTCAGCCAATATGGCCAAAAATATGGCCAGTAAATGCCCCTGTGCCTCAGTTTCCCCATCAAAAGCAACTCACCTAAAACTATGCATTGGGTCATTGGCAGCTTTTCAGATATCTTTTCACATGTTCTTCCTGACACGCAGAGAAATACTGGCCTAGGAAATGGGGTCTCAGAGAAAAACAAAAAAAAAACAAAAAAAGAAGGGGAAAAATAAAAAAGGGGGAGGAAAAAATGAATAGGATTAATTTATTGGTACTACGAAGTAGAAAACATGTTAAGAAGCACTGGAACAGCTTAAAAAGAAAAAAAGAAAAAAGCTTACACATCCAAATGTATTCCTTGTCAAACCAGAAAACAGCCATCACAGTAGTTGATAACACATGTTTTCAGGTTTGGAGAAATGGGATTTGAGATGATGAATTCCTGCAAAATCTGTAGATTTTCTAAATGACTTTCCAAAGCTCCGGACTTCTAAGGCTTCCACAAATTCACATTAAATTTTGGAAAGAAAAGTCCAATGGCAAACAGCAGAGAGCAAGTTCCATTTAATGAATACCTTGTATAAGTAAATTAAACTTACTTGCTAATGGACACCTTTGGGTGTCATATGTCAGCCCACTGATCTCCATGCATGCTTTATTAACCAAAACAAGTTTTCTTTGTCAATTCTGTACACGGTACTGTGACTGTTTCTTGTAGCAATATTCAACAGAATAGATAATAATGTTGTTTATTCTAAGGATTGTATGTAGATCTATAGATTGCATTATTCACGTGCTACCCAATGACATGATCATTAAAAAAAAAAATTGCTTTTCACATAAAGATTGCATTTAAAATATTCAGTGTATCTGAAACAGGTGTGGCTATCATATCAGAGATGTGAATAGCATAGCTGATTACAATTACTATAGTAAAAGATGCTATAAGCACCCTATTGTTGCAGAAGACTTATACAATGTGACTAGCTCATTTTTCATCATATTTTAATAGTGTCTGTTAACAGCTAATAGCATTTGTCTGTGTAACAATAGCTTTGCATCACCATTTTACTTGGTGCTCTGCAGAGTGGCTGTAGCTAATTTTGACTTTTCTTTTCAGATCTTGTCCCCACTTTCAGATGCTATTTTGGCTGAGAAGACAGTGACAGTTCTGGATGAGAAGGTGACAATAACTGACCTGGGAGTGCAGCTGGTAACTGGATTGTCACTCTCTCTGCAGCTCAGCCCAGGAAGCAATAAGGCCATCTTTGCTACAGCAGTAGCACAAGAGCTGCTCCAGTCTCCAAAACAGGTACTATTGTTCACACGTACTTTGTTGTGAAAGGATGCTGCTCTGATTCACTACACTTAATCTTAAAGCTGAGGGGATCGAGCAGATTTTTATTAACAATATACTAATAAAACATTTTCTTTATGGGCACTTCTTAACAAGGACCATCAGGTGCTGTAATAGAAAAACAAAGATCTCACAAAAATAGCAAAGTCTAAACAACACAAGTCAGCAAACAAGCCTGCCGCATCTGTCTTGGCTGCAGCCCTTGCATAACACATGCAACTTTATGATGTGTCATAAATAAGCAACAGAAGTCACCTCACACACACACACCCCTTTCAGTCCCATCCAGCTCCTGTCACAGCAGAAGTGATGATGCCAGTGGCATTGCTGAGTTCAGCCTCTTGTCGAAGGCAGCTAAACCAGTTCTAAAGTCCATCTTTAAATAAGAAGGTATTTTGCATAGTGCCAGACTCTTCCTTTTTTTAATTATTTATTTATTTTTACCATGTTAAGTATTTGGGGAACATCCTTTTCATTTTTTGTCATTACTAGAATATGATACATGATTAAACATAAATACATACATAAATCTTTTTTTCCCAGTTATTCTTAGTCCCTATATCAGCAATCACTGTTGTATGATGTTCCCTTTCTCTTCAGTCAGATCTTCGCAGGCTCTCCTGGACATGATAAATTTTGACATGTGACAAAGGGGAATGGGAGAGTTTTCTCTCCAGTGTCTATTACCTTTGATCCTACCTTTGGGGTTATTCTGTGAGTAATACCAGACTTCCCCTCTTCTGTCTTCTGGTGCTAAGAATGGTTCAACCAAACTTTGCCTTTTTCAAGCTCTGGCAGATCTGAAATTCTTGAAATCCAAATGCTGGCACAAACACTGAGGGCTTTTGGATTTTATCACCTCTCCATCAGGTCCTGCTCGATAGTCGTCCTTGTGCTGTTGTCTACATTTTAAATTTAAACTTTTTTTTCAATCAAATCCATCACTCTGGGACTAATGTCAAGGATGCACTGGGCTCTTAACTCTTAAACATGATCTGAGCTTTAAAGGTAAATGAGCATGGCATGCACGTTTGAAATCTGGCCAACTGTTCAGATGCTTTAATTCATCATTGGGTCTTATCCTTGGGATGTAAGATGAGAAATAATGCAGAACTGCCATCTTTATAGGGTGATAAAAATCAGGCTCCCATAGTCTTCCAGGAGTTAAGAAATCAATGCCAGGCAGCTAGAAATAAGGCCAGTGAGCTAATCCATTGCTGACATGGAGAGTTAAACAAACTACCTTGAAATCAGCCCCAAAGCTGTATTTGATGGCATTTAGTCCCAGTATGCTGCCCAGCCCCCAGAAATGGAGTCCGGATGAGTCCCTCTCTTGATATAGGACTATAGTCAGAACGGCGCTGGATCAGTATTAAACCAGCAAGGAATCGTGCACCCTCTGCTCTCCAAGGACTGACTCTGAAAGACATCTGATTCCTTCCATCACTTAGTACACGATGTCCAGAGAACAATCCCTATAAGCAGAGCAATGCAAAATTATTAAATGATTATGCAGGTTTAAGCAACACAGTGGGAGGATGAGAGCCGATGATATAAATTCTATGCGGCCTTCAAGAAACATCCAAAGATTAATAAACACAAAGCCGGGATTTATGACAGTGTCAGCAAAGTCTTAGGGCTCAGTCCTGAAATAGAGACAGAAGCAAATCTCCCATTGAAGCACAGGGAGCTTTATGGCTGTAAGGATTTCGGAATCAGGCCAGTAGATTATTCACAACACAATCCCCAGAGACTGGAAGCCTGTCCTCTGTGATTTGAACAGGTAAACGACTATGTGCTGGAAATGATTTAACAGGAAATGATAAATATTTATTCTCTTTCTGTATGCTGAGTTAAAATGTAAATACAGTCTGTCTGAAAAGCTGTTTATTTAAAGAAACAAGACTCTGGTAATGCCCTTCCAGCAAGTAGGGTTATCAGCAGGTTAGTGGATTGGTTGGTTGTCTGTCTGTCCATCTGAGCAGGGTGAGCCCAGCTGCTCCAGGCAAGAGTTCCCATCAGTTTGGACACCATAGAATCCACTCATCAAGACAGGAGTTTTTCTGGTGTGGTACCTACAGTGTTTAAGCGGGTGCAGATATCCCAACTGAAACAGAGTGAGTCAAACCGTCCAAAGCAGGAGTTGGATTCCAGTGGAGCTATCTGAATTTTACCCACAAGTGATATATATGTGAACACCAAGACTTTCTCAGGTAGCATGACCAATCAAAATCGAGAGGACCTGATTGTCCTTAGAGGATCTGGCCTTCCAAACTGGGTGAGAGCATGTTTTCTGAAATGTAAGAGTTCTTTAGAATATCTTAGGTAGAAGCTAAAAGTCAAGATTCCCAGAAGACATGACACACGCAAATATAGAATTAGTCTGACCCAGTCAGACCCTGGTCTGACCCAGTTACTATTCCATAAACTTCCATGTACTGTGAAGTAGAGTTTGTGTTGCTGGGACATAGGATTAAATTTCATTACCGTCTGGCTTTTAATTGCTAACAAGCGTGAAAATTACTCCGGCCATTTCCTCAAGAAGTAACTGGTCTGTTTCCTCTGCTTCTACAAAGCATTTCATTGGAGAGACAGAAATCAAGGACTGGATGTGTGAAGCCATGTGTGGGTCTATTTGCTATATTAGATATGTTTTAACATGTGTTGTGTGTAACAAGAGGAGACTTTGTATTTTAAGCAGTTTAGAAATAATGCAATATATTTTTTCATTTAAATATACAACAGTAAATGATCTCAGTAGCTGGTAATGCCTTCTGACATGCAATTTATTATGGTGCTGTAGATTCTGTGCAGCCCAGGGGATACAGCTCCCTTAAGCACCTTTGGGGAAAGAAATCTTATTATCAATGAGTGTTTTAAACTAGTATTTCTCCTAGCATTAATTTTCTTGCTCTGCTTTTTTATTTCTTTTCTGGTTATAAATGGTATATGGATCTTGTGAGGAGGAGGAAATAGACCGGGACAGAACGTATTTCCCTCGATGTTTATTCTGAGTGTGTGTGTATTTGTTTTATATAAAATAGGAAGCAGCCATCAGCTGCTGGATCCAGTTCAGTGATGGATCTGTCATGCCTCTGGATATTTATGACTCCAAAGACTTCTCCTTATCAGCTACATCTCTGGATGAGAAGGTGGTCTCCATTCACCATGACCCCAAGTTCAAGTGGCCTGTGATTGCAGCTGAGAGGGAAGGCCAGGGGACACTGGTGAAGGTGGAGATGGTGATCAGTGAATCGTGCCAGAAATCCAAAAGGAAGAGCATCCTGGCTGTTGGAAGTGGTAGCATTAAAGTGAAGTTTGGGCAGAGTGATGCCAACCCTAACGTCAGCGATAGTAAACACAGGGGTGCTGGTGTCCACCTAGAAAATCATGCCAGCGACCGGCGTCAAAAAACCACTTTGCAGGAAAGAGCTGGGCCAGATGGCCAGTATTACAGCTCCTCCATGGGCCAAGAGCAAGGCAAAGGGACCACCACTCAAAAGTCTATTCTAAGTAAAAAAGAAGACAGAGAGAGCCTCCTGGATGATGACAGTCATCTGCAGAACATCCCAATAGATTTCACGAGCTTCCCTGCACAGGTGGATCTGCCAAGAAACAATGGAGACTTGGAAGAGAATGACCTGCTACAGACCCCCAGGGGGCTCAGTGATCTGGAGATAGGAATGTATGCTCTGCTAGGAGTCTTTTGCCTGGCAATTCTGGTCTTCCTTATCAACTGTGTCACTTTTGCTTTGAAGTACAGAAACAAACAAGTTCCCTTCGAAGAACAAGAAGGTCTGAGCCACTCTCATGACTGGGTTGGGCTGAGCAACAGGACAGAACTTCTGGAGAATCACATAAATTTCTCATCTCAACAAGACGAACGTATTACAGCCATTGATAGAGGAGTGGACTATGAAGAAAGCAAATATCTCCTCAACACAAATGCCCCCCAGAATATTAATGGACAAGCTTTTAGGTCTACTGAGTCCACATTCACTGAAGGGAAAGAACAGAAAAGTGAACCAACTACTTCTCCTACCTCTAAGAGGAAACGGGTTAAATTCACCACATTTACCACCATCTCCTCTGATGATGGATGTCCAACTGTCAACTCAATCTTGATGAGCAGTGAAGATGATATTAAATGGGTTTGCCAGGATATGGACCTGGGGGAGTGCAAAGAACTTAAAAACTATATGGAGAGATTACATGAAAATGTGTAATAAGACACAAAAGACTATTTGGTTTGGTTTGTTTGTTCATTTGTTTTTCACTCACCTTCTGCCTTTAATTTTGGGTAGTGGGGCAAAATGCTGTATTGATCACAAGAATCAGCTGATGGATAATAACTCCATGAAGCCCCTAAAAGCCACCCAAAAGCAGCTGGGAGAGCAGAGATCCTGGGCAGCTCTTAAAATACAAATACAAGTCTTCTCTGTGCTCAGAGATGGGAATGAGAGATGTGTGAGATTTTTTGATTCATGGTAACATGACAAAAAACTTAGCAAAATAATACGGTCTCCTTCTCTGAGCTGTCCCAGGAAATCAATAAATATAACAAACTCCAGTGCAGTTTGGATATTACAAAATTCGTTCAGCTCTACTGTTCAATATTGCAAGCTTTGTTTAAAAGCAAAAAAATTGGACTAAGAGTAAATAGATCAACGAAGAGAGCATGTCACATTCAAGCCACATGCAGGGCATATCCATCTGAGAATGTTAGTTTAAAGCTGAGAAAAATCAACAGTGTGAGCAGAGCAGCTCCCAGAGATGCAAAGTCATGAATTTCCAAAGAATCTGATGGGAAAAATGGAGTAACTGGGCTGTTTACAAACCAGCACGTTTGCCTCCCAAGCACTGAGAATGGATACACGTACACAGTTAAAACTGAAACTGTCTTTTTAAGTAGATGCCAAGGTAATAAACTTTGCCAGCCAATTTTCAGTATTTCTTAATTTGTAAAAAGAAGAAGATATAATCTATACTCAGAATTCCGCCCATTTAAAGGAAGGTCCATTTTGGAAAGTTTGAGGGAACAAGCTATTTTTAAAAGCCCACTTTCTTTGATTGTCCTGTTTCAAATTTATATTCCCTGCCATTTCCCTGGAACGCTCCCAGCTGGATACCCTGAGGGCACTTGCTAGCATCAGTCATATCTGGAAGTGTGGAGGATTCTCCCTCCCCTTCCATGCACACCGTCTTCTCCATGGTGTGCTCTGTCTCTCCAGGCACAGGCAGGGTTGGTACCATGCTGGTACTTGCTTCATGTGCTGTCGTTTACCAAAGTTGACCTCTCTCTCTTGGGTAAGCATGACTTGTGCAGGACTCAGACACAAACAGCAGCTGTCTCTTTGTTTGTCCCCTTCCCTGGGAGAGGTCAGGTTGTTTGGTTCCTTCTGCTCATGCTTCTTTAGTCCCCTGCCCAGCACGTTTAGAGGGCACTGAAAGGCCACACAGAAGTGCTGCACAGCCAACACTGTTGAAATCTGAACAGCTCAACTCGGTAGATAACGTTTTGTTTCTCCCAGAAGTGATGGTTATCTTTTGTTTTCCTCTGATAAGGATGTACATAGGGTAAGATTTCAGTGATTTCCCTTTGAGTCTGGTATACCCTTCAGCCCTAAAACCACAACATTTCTTGTGAGGTCCAAAAGCGGTTTCCAGTGACCGGTGGCAAAGTGCCAAAGCAGTAACTAAATTCTGGCATATATTTCAAGTTTTCCTTTCTTTTCCGGAGTGAGCCCTTGCCCCCTTTTTATTATTAAGTCTCTTTCTGTCATTGAATCTAGGTTGCTCTGTTTAATACACCCACCCTCCCACAAACACTTAGATTGAATCCCTCTATATTTAGAATGTACTGTAGATTGTAAGAATGTAATATATATATTTATAAATATGCCAACTGTGAATAAAATTTGCATTTTAGTGGCTTCATCTTTTTTCCTACTCTGAACGCCTCTCTCCTTTCACTGTCAGAACATTTACCCTGAAAGAGACTGGCAGCAGCAGGGAGACTTGTCCTCCGATGGAATGGTGAATTATGACTCTTGGCACAATCTCATTACAAAGTTTTGCATTCTGCAGTGCTGGTGGGAAAAGGTATAACATCAACAGCATGTTATACAACAAATGTATTTGCACCAAGTGGCTCTTCCAAGGCTTGAGACTAGATGCAAATAAATCCATATGCATATCCCTGGTGGGAGGGTCTAATATGTGAGTTTCTGCTCTGGATGTGTTTGGAAAGATCCACATTTGGCTAAATGCATTTGAAGACAATACTAAGAGAGTAAGTAGGTGTAAAAAGGGCAAATGTGGTGAAGACTTTGGAGATCAGTACCTGTCTGTGTTGTGTAATTCCACATAAGATTTGAAAAAAAAAATAGCAGGCTGGATTACTGAGTCCTATGCAAGTTTAACACTGGCTGCAGCAGTGAGGACAGCATGAGGCAGAGCCCAGTCTGGCTCTGGATGAGTGCTCTCATGTTGGAAGCAGCTTCAGGCTCACAGAAAAGCCCTGCAGCTTCCCAGCAGGTTCAGCAGTGCGCAGGCCCGCTGATTCGCTTCCCATTCCTGAGCTATTTTGGGTGCTTTTTACACATCACTAATTGTGACCACAGAAATTCACCCTCAATAACGCGGAGGTCAGGGTAAAGGTGGCCAAATTTCAGCAAGCCAGCAGTCTGTGCAGATGAGATTCATGCATGCGTGCAGGGTTGCGTTGCAAAAGCGTCATTCTGTGGCCAGTCTTCCTCCTTCAGAAGGAGCAGAGCAGGTACAAGCCATGCTGCGAGCAGGCTGTCAGACTTGCTTTACCAATGAGCTGCAATGGTAAATCCAGATTTCTGTGTTAGCTGCCTCTGGGGAATGTGGAGAACTAACAGCAAGTTCATCTGGTAGCACAAACCACTGAAATGTTCTCCTTGGATGAAACAGCCACTAGCAATGATGCTAAGGATACTGACATTCAGATTTATGCCTTTCTGCTTGCTCAGACATCCCTAACGTCGCTTAACAGCTGCAGCTTGCTATTATCCATAGGGCAATACTATAAATAATGCCTAGTACTAGAGTGCTCTGTCTGTAGGTCTCAAAGTGCTCTGAGCAAGGTGGATTCCTTATTGACATGGAGAAAACTGGGATTAAGTGTTTTACCCAAAATAACATAGGAAATCTGTGGCAAAACCAAACGGAGACACCGCTCCTACACATACTTTTCAATGTATCAGGATTGTGAGCTCAACTCAAGGAGAAATCAGAGTGGATTGTGGCTGTCAGCACGCAAGCAAGCAGACGCAATTAATCTGCTAATAGGTTAATAACTCAACTTCCTGTAGAGATTGTTATACACATGTAAGTATGTATCTGTCTGTCATGCTGTGTGTGTATGTATGTATCTGCTTTTCTCACAGCACTTTCAGGTGAAAACTTCTGCACCATGAAGCATCTCAAGGATGAAACCTTATGTTTCAGGCAATCAGACAAGAATCCTGTTTGGTGAGTGAAGGGGGGTAAACTCTGCTCCCTGTCATACAAGCAGTGGTAGGATGTAGGTGCTTTGAGCACATTTTGCAGCTGTGGCTCCCATTGGCAACCTCTCAAGCCTGAAGAGCCCTGCTGATAGCAAGCAGTCTCCTCTGAGGGATATTAATATTTTTGTTTTTGCAGTTGCTTCCTTATTTTCGTATGTGAGTCACTTTTATGTGAGTGCCTCTTTGTATGTGAGTAGCTAGACTGATAGACTGATACAGGCATTTTAACAAAAGGAAATGTGTCTGATGCAGTGTGGCTTTTTTTTTTTTTTTTTTTTTAGATGCTTTATGCATAAATACGAGGAGTAGAATCTCAGTTGTCCTATAAATCAGGTAAGCTGGTTCTTCACTGTCTTCTTTTTAAGGGCTTCCCCTTCAGCAGTCATATATATATACATAGTGGTTTAGACTAAGCTGCATTAGTACACCAGCAAATTCAAGGTCTGAGAAATGCAGGTAAATAGTTGTTCTGGAACAAGAGTTCTATGGAGGTAAGTGACTTGAAAAACCAGAAGAGGTGTTAAATTGATGTGCAGCCTGTGCTAAGTAGCTCTAGAAACTACTTTCACACCTCGTTTCCATAATGAATGAGACATAAATGAAACGAGCACACTAGAGACACTTCAGTTCAGTTCTGGGTATGCTCAGCTTCTCCGAGACTGCCTGCTGGCATTCCCCTGCGTCTGTGGGGACATTTCTTTGTGGAGGAACCTTAGCAAGAGGTAAAGGAGCCACGTGCTACAACACAGGAGGGTTTCACATCTCTTAGGAGATGATCTCGGCTGGACTCATGTGTGTATCGATCAAGTTAAGTCCGATAATCATCACTGAGGAATTAACTCAGGCAAGCAGCAATTGTCACCAAATGTTGTGTTTAGTAAATGCCTCGAGCACTTTCAAAATACTCTCAGAGATTAATTTATTTAGTGCTTGGAAATCCAAGAGCTCTGTCATGTATTTCTGTCTGCGTATTGCTAGCACTGTATTTCCTTCCATGCACAGCTTCAGAGCACTGCAGTGCTGCATTCAGTGATTCATCTCATTGCCTACAGTACAATGGCTGCCATATAAAGCCAGTTGTGTGTTACTGCAGCCCGTACTGTGAGAAGTAGAAGAGAATGTCCCTATTTGAAGCAGGAGACTCTTTTGGCCTGCAAGCTTTGTGACCAGCTGCCTCCCATACGTTAGCAGCTGGCCAGGAGAGCTCTGGAGCAATCCAGGGCATAGCTGGTGAGGTGCTGAGATTTGTGTTCTGCTTCCAGGTCTTTCCTCACTCCCTGAAAACACTCTGGAGGGATTGCTTCTGCAATTAGCCCAGGGGGTGTGGTTAAGCATCTTTCTGAATGGGTGTTAGGTCTGCATCAGCCATCCTCTTCATCCTGCGCAAGTAAAGGCTCTGTTCCATGAACAGAGCACTACTGCTCTGCGTGGCTTCTTGGTGAAAGCTATCATGGGTGAAGCTCAAAAGTGGCCTAAAAAGACCAGAGAGCCACATACACTGTGCCCATAACAGGAGCTCTAGTCAGGCCAAGGTCTAACTAACATGCCTGAACTGAGATCGCTTCCCACCTCTTTGCTGATTCGATAGGGAAACCTCTATCAACAAATCCTCCATTATGCAGGCTTCCTGCTCAGGCTCTGTGAGGAACAGCAAATTAAGCAGCCCAACTATGTAATATTAATGGCTGGAATAGCAGCACTGCTACTCTGTTTTTATGTACTGCCAATGCTCATTAAGAAATTCCTGTTGCATTTTAAAGATGCCTGGTAGATTGCATACGACAAGTTCCTGCATCTGTCTCCTTAAAACCTCCCCGTGAGCCTGGAAGGACGTGTTCAGCACCGACCCAAGCTGCCTGAACCATCCACCAGAGCTCATCCCCTCCTGGTTTTGGTAGTTGCAAATGAGGCTTCTTGTTGTATTTTCCCTTCTGCAATCACAGCTACTTCTCTAACGCACGCTGAGGGTGCAGAGCTGGATCTCAGCTGTCTGGTGCCTGAGCTTCTGGCAGAACTCAAACCACTGATACCAGCACCAGAAAGCTGTGCTTTTGAAATGCAACAAGGACTTTGTTGATTCATGTTTGCATCTTTGTTTCTAATAATTAAATTTCACGTTCCTCAAGTCAGATATTAATGACCCAAAAACCAATCCAAAGAGCTCCATTGTTCATTCTTGAGGGTAGGAGCCTGCAAATGAGACAGAGATCTTCATTTTCAACATTTTACAGTGCTCAGTAACCTTAGGTGAACTGAAAGAGTGAAAGAGAAATAAAAATAGTAGTAAAGGGGCTGTGCTCTCCATTAGCAGGGTTCAGCTTAGCAGCTCTGAAGCAGTCTCCAGCCCCCTTCAGCAGAAGCAGAGGTTGAATGATGGCTACAGCTTTGTGCTGTAGCTAATTCCCCCATCTGGTCCTGCACATTTGTATTTCAGCCTGGTTACACAGAGACCAGTGTCTGGACCAGGTTCTGGAGGCCCCAGCATCTGCCATGCATGGGGATGCTCAGCAGCCAAGCACAGAGCATCTTCTGGTGTGCCACCAAGCCCAGACATTCTGCTGAGCACATCAGCTCTTCTTGCAGCCCTGTGCTGTGCCTGCAGACCCCACGGAAGTATCAGCTGCTCCGGAGATGTGGCCTGAACAGTTTCTTTCACTTCCAAAGCAGGCATTCAGTGTTTTCTAATGGTCAAAATGACAGTGCTTCCAAAGCCACGTGGGCAGAGAGGGATGTGGCTGCATTCCTTGGACAGCGTTCACTGTGTAAAGTAACAGGAAAGGGAAAAGGGTTCTCCCACATTCACTCATCTCATTTCCCTGTTTTTCCAGCAAAGTCTTTGGCTGACTGACAGAGGTCACCCATTATCCGTTCTTTCCTCATCAGGCCCCGAATCCAAATCGCTGTGCTCATCTCTGCCCTCAGTAACATTTTACAGCTTTCTTTCATCAGTTGCCCTTCTCAATCCTAATCAATAGCTTTGCTCTTAGCATTTGGTATTGCATTCTCTTCTGCTAGTCAGGATGCCAAGGTCAAGTCTGCCCCTTCCGTATTTCTCCCTTAATGATATCCAGCTGTCATGTATTAGCTCAAGATATTTTACAGTATTGAAAGATCCCAATTATTGATCTAGCCCTGTACCTAGCTCTCCCCAGGCTTAACTACAGCTTCAGAACAACACTCAGTAGTGTTTCTTTTGCAAGGCCAACTCACGCAGCTCAAGAGGCATTTTTGGCAGGCTGCAAATGAAAGCTCCAGAAGATTTTTTTCATTGCTCCGCCCAAGCCTCACACAAGCATGCAAACCCCTGAAGAGCAATAGGATTTTAATCATCTCTTCTAATTGTTTTGGTCTAGTACCGAGTCAGCTGCTGCTTGAATCCCGAGCTCCCCGTG